GAGATCAGCCAACCTGGAAGAGAAGACACGCTTGCCTTTACGAGAGAGGTGAAGCCCAACCCACCTGAGCAAGTCCCCCTGCCCAAAAGCACGGGTCATTATCTAGGAACCCAAGGCCTAGATAATTCCCCCAACCTGCGTTGGGCCCACTCCCCCCACCACCGCCATGTTGTCCCTCTTCAGGCCCAGCAGGTAGCAATGACAGAAGGGGTGGGGCCTGCTCCCTCTCTCCCCACCTCCAGCAACCCAACCCCACTCCTCCATCCTTGCCACCTGCAGGGAACAGGGCAGGGGGAAGCAAGGCCAACGCTGCTGGCCTTGCCCCCCTGTTCCATCTGCTCTGTTGCCCCTGCCTCCAGGGAGCAGGGTGGTGGGGGCTAGGCGAGCCGCACTGGCCTTGCACTCCACTTCCATCCCGTGTCCCCACCATCATGGCAGAGCTCCACCAGCCACCAGCTCCTGTTGGAACGCTTGTTTGCACTCTGATTTTGTTTTTCAGTCAATCAGAGTGTGAATAAAGCAGTACAGACACACAGGCTTAGGCTTTTATACTATTAGAATTAGTTATATTTACATACAGACTAAAGACAACACAGAAGTAGTCAGATACAAATTCAGATTAACACAACACAAGTCAGACAGTCATACAAGATATTATTTTAGTTGCACACACAACAGTAAACACAACACACAAGTCAGAGAGTCATAGAACAAAAAGAAGAGATATTGTTTTATGTAGAGAAACAACAGTAAATACAACACAGAAGAAAAAGTATGGCTCTCCCTGCCTCCCGCGCCTGGGCTGTGGGAAGCCAATCATAGCACAGGTGACGGGAACTGAGCTCGGGCTCAGTTCACCTCCCCAGCACTGTGCTAGGGCTGGGGAAGAGAACTGAGCCCAATCACTCAGTTCCCCTCCCCAGCACTGGAATCAATCAGGCTCAGTTCCCTTCCCCAACCCGATCAGGCTGGGGAAGGGAACCAAGCCCAATCGCACAGCCCCTGCAGCCCTCCAGGGTTGCAGCTATCTACCTGCCAGATGAGAAAAGCTGGGTGCTGCTGCCTGGGACCGGCGGCAGCATCCGGCTTCCCTCCCTCACCTAGCAGACAGATTGGGAGCCTGCAACCCCAGGAGGACTGGCACAGCCCCCGCAGCCCTCCCAGTGTTGAAGGCCCCCAATCTGCCTGCTGGATGAGAGAGGCTGTTTCGAGCTTCCCCATTACAGCCTACAGGCAAAACATCGAAACAGCATCAGAACAGCATCACTGTTTTGATGCAGAAGGGCAGAGGTGAGGTGACGTGGAGGAAGGGGATCCACTTTCCCATGCCAGCACTCCCAGCACCAGCACCAGCCAGTGTCCTCCACGCCAGCCACTGCCGATGTGGACCAAGGGCATAGTTTCACTGTTGGGGTCCAGACCCCAGCCTCGGGCAGGTAGCACCAAGGCTTCGGTGGCTACCTATCTTGCCAAAGATGTGGAGCTGCTGGACTGTGACCCCTTGGCCTACTGGGCAAGCCACAGCCAGATGTGGCCAGATGTGACCACAGTTGCCCAGGAACACCTGTCCTGTCCGTTGACCCATGTTCTGAGTGAGAGGGTGTTCAGCATTGCTGGGGATAGTTTCATAGTTTCTAGGGTTGGAAGGGACCTGAGAAGATCATCTAGTCCGACCCCCTGCCATGGCAGGAAAGAGTACTGGGGTCAAACGACCCCAGCAAGGTGTTCATCTAACCAACTGTCAGTTTATCTAAATCTAAATTTATCTAAATTTACTTGTTATCTAACAACTGTCAGTTTTCCAAACGATTTAGTAAAGTAAGCTTTCATAGCAAGCAATACAGTTTTACTGATATTCATAGTAACATACAAGAATGTGTGGTGAGGTGACACCTCACCACACCTGCTTAGATTCTGGTTTGGTGGGGCAGCTGTTCCTGAAGGTGAACCTCCCGCTGCTGGGATTCCCCAAGCTCCACCTGCAGACAGAGTGCCACTCTCTTCACTCCATCTGCACCTATTTCTGTTTTACTTTTAAACTAGTTAATGTCCCCTCTCTGAGCTGGAAGGGCACTGACTACAGCAGCAGCCAGCAGGAAAAGAACATGTCCCTGCTGAGCTTCCATGCCAGGACAAACTTGGAGGTATGGGCTGGGGCTATGGGGAAGAGGCCCCAGGACTTGGTCATGACCAGTAAAACTGCACTCTGCCAGGGTGAGGGAGGCCTGGTGGGACTGCTGGTGGCGGAGCAGCCCCAGGAAATGCCAGGACCAAGGATCCCCCTGGTGAAAGGTGGGTAGGAGGCGTCATAACCTCTAGCTACCACATGCATGCACACAGTCCTGGCTAAAGACAGCCGAGACCCATGATGGCTGACAGGCCTGAGCCTTGCTGGTTGCAGTGGAGTTGTGAGGCTCCAGGTGACCTCAGCCTAGCTGCCTGGGATGCCAGCTTTAGGGTTGAAGAAGCACCTGCAGTTGGTGTGCCTGTGTGTTTCTGGATGGAAGGAATAGTAAAGAAGCCAGAGGCTGGCATGCACCCTACAATCCCAACCCCAACCCCTGCCCACCCATACTGTTTTCCTCCTGTCCACAGCCCCATCCCAGCCAAGCTAACCCTGCCCACAGGGGATGCTGACTGGTCTCCATGAAGACCCTGGAATTACCAGGTGGTGACAGTGTGGGGCCAGGCCCCATGGCAGAACCATTTAGGGTGAGCTGTTGCGCGATTGGCACGGTAGGGGTAGGGGGTGCTGACCCAATCAACAAGAGATCACCAAAACTTCCCCATGTGGCCCATTAGCCCAAATAATTGCCAACCCCTGCTCTTACGCTTAGTTATGTCCCCTCTCTCCAAATCAAGTCACTGGTTCAGGAGATTTACACAGCAATAGCTCCTGTGTACTATTTCTGTAGATAAGTGGGTTTTTCCCCCTGTGCTTTTAAACTGGAGTCTTTAACAACTGTCAGTTTTCCAAATGACTTAGTAAAGTAAGTTTTCATAGCAAGCAATACAGTTTTACTGATATTCATAGTAACATACAAGAATGTGTGACACAAATTCAGTCAAAGACTTTAAAATGTTCTATAAACATTCCACATGGTAATGGAATTCTGAAATTAATATACTTCCCTTTGGAATGGATTAATTCAAATGCCATTTCCAAGTCACTACTAGAGAGAAAAGAGCCCAGAGTCTTATGTATAAATCCTTGCTTTAATCTGTAAGCCACTTGACTAAGTTCTTTGTTTAGAGGTCCAAGAATATACATGCACACTGATTTTAAGCACGTTTTAAGTACTTTCTTGTTATCCCAGCTTTAGGACAGAGGCAACAGACAAAGAGGCTACATGCAGTACTGTGTGTATATCTTTCTAACTTCATGTATTGCAGAAAAACTTTGAAGTCTATGAGTCAGTGATTCTTAACCAGGGTGTCACAATACTATTAGGTGTGCAAACACCTACGTGCTTCGTAAGATAAATAAAAAAATTCAATTAGAAAAGCATAGTTTCAAAAACATTCTGGTCTGTTGTGGTCTTTGAGTTGTTTACAACATAAGAATTCCCTTATTATTCTTTTCATAGTAAAAGCTAAGACCTGACAACTTCTGAGACTCAAGGTTCCGCTCAGAAAATGAGAACCACTGCCACAAATGTAGCCAAAGATTGCTTTTTCTTTTTTAAAAAAATATCCAAATATATTGAAGGCTCTTTATTACAGGCCTTCAAAGTAATTTTTTCTTAGCTCAGAGCATTGTTATAAGATGAAATGCAAGTGTTTATGTTATGCATACAAATACCTGTTATGAAACAGATTGGATGTTCTGTATTTATATGTCTATTAAGAGATGTGCTATTCTGACTGTTAGAACAAAAATACTGGCAATATGACCTGTCAGACGGCAGTTATGCTGTACATATAAAATGACTGATATGAAATAAATAAGACAAATTCACAACTTTATTACAAAAAACACCCAGCAACTGTATTTAGCGCAAAACAGTAACTGAGTTTTCGTTTTATTTGTCTTTCAGTGTACATGCTCATTATGTATTCCATTTACATTTGCAGGAGGGTTATGTAAAACAAGATTAAAATTAGAAAGGAAATAAAGAAATAGATTGAGGCGTAGAATTTTCTTAGCAAGCAATGATCACAGGAAACCGCACAGACTGAATAGGAATTCAAGAGGAGTAACACCTAGGAACAAAGGTAAACAGTAACATTGTCCTTATCAGTTAAGTTAGATTCTCAATGGGACATTTTTGTTTTAATTAAAACAGTTTAGAATATCACAGTATACAGGAAGACTAAAATGGCAAAAGAGTATTGTACATACAACACATGTATCCCTGCTACTGGTCCAGGATCCGAAACATGAGATAACATTCTATTTCTTATCTCTCACTCATTGATAAACTATACAGGATTACACTGTACATGGAGTTAGAATTACAAAAATGTCATATTTACAAAATCTGTACACACATAGTAAAACTCACAAAATCGTTGTCTATGTATCACAAGTTGCTACACCAAAATATTAAAAATGGGATAAAATTATACATTTCTCTTTTCCATTTTTAAAAAGGGTTAATATTGCAAAGACAGACAATCTATTCTCCCCAGATAAGACAGGTAAAAGAACTAGAAACCCAAAGTATCCACTTTGGATAACACGCAGTGAGCAGCATCTCCTAACTAAAAAAAAAACCAAAAACCTCTATCTGGTTACCTGGGGGCAGGATGTGCAGTTAGAGTATATGTACAGAAGTGGTGAACTTACAGTGAGGATGTCTTTGGCTAAACCTTTGGCATTAAATAAAAATTATACATCAGACATTATGGAAAAAGATTTCTTGGTACCGAAGGAGCAGGGGAATTATTTTTCAATATACTATATATACACACACACGACAAATTCCCCAAGGGAAAAGGAGAGGAGAGAAGGAGTTCGGAGCAAACATAAATGAGGCAACTTTTTTTTAAAAAATATTTCAGCATAAAGAAAAAAAAGGTATCAAACCCCTTAAAGTAAAACACTTCCATTCATAGGAATACCCTTCTCCTCCAGATTTTTTTTTTTTTTTTTTAAAAGAAAACTGCATATGAAAAAAAATTTAGTAAACCAGGCATGGCAGGAAAACAAATGCTTCAGCATGTCAAGTATTAGTGCAGGAAGGTGGATTATTTGATCCACAGTATAAATAAGCTTTATGTGCAGCGTACATTAAATAACCATTACACCCCACTCACGTCATACACAGATGCTCCTCAGTGAAGATGAACATTTATCAAGTAATTAAAGTGTATGTAGTGCAAATGTTACAACCAAGTATTCTGCACATGCTACTTGCTTGTTTTAACGTTATACAAAGATGTGGTGCCTGAAATCATGGACATATATATACCTTTGTCACACTTGGTACAATGTCCTTAGTCACAGAAATACCGACGTGTTTATATATATATTGTATACATATTCGTTTTCTTAAAATGTGACCACCACATCAATACAGTAACATAAACACAGACTAAAATCAATACCTGCTTCCAGATGCTCCAAGGCTCAGAAAGTTTGTGCTTCTAACTCTTGCAGTCATTATGTACCCCTTCTTCCACCTCACCCTTCTGCCAGTTCAGGAAGGATACACAGTCTCTTCATGCCTGTTCTACACAGGGTGAGGGCAACCAAGAGGAATAAGATGATGACACAGGCACCTAACTGCATTCCTCCACCACTAGTTCCATGCCTTATGATGAAGGGTTGAGAGAATTTCTCCTCCACACCATGCATTGGTGGGAAGGTTGTTTTTGGAAAAAAAAAAATCATACCGTGCTTTCCATATTATAACTGGCAGCAAATCAAGGCACGCTGTACTAATTTTGTAGCATTTAGATTAGCGGGTTTTGAAGGGGATGCTCACTGGGAAAGGTCCGAAGGTCTCAACTGGCTGGTGGGCCTGGCAGGGCCATACAGAGTAACAGATGCTATGTGATTATTCTGCATCACCTGCAAAAGGGTGGCAGGGAAAAACAGAAGTTTTGCTTTTTAAAAATGTCACACATCTCAAAGGGGATTTCAGAAAAACCAGCAGCGACACAAATAGAACATTTATTTCCCTGAAATAAATAAGAAAACAATAAGGCAAAAAGGACTTGTGGTAGAGGGGATATCTTTTATTAGACCAACAAGACTTTTGCAAAAATCTTGTTGGTCTAATAAAAGATATCCTCTCTATTATGAGTCCGGATTGCCTTTTCCTATAGACCAATGTGGCTACAACCAGGATACCTCACAATAATAAAAAAAATATTAAAAAAAATAGAACAGCTGGACTTCAAAGATTAGCTTTATATTTATTTCTATACTTTCAGGCTTCAGTGCTTGTCATAACACAAACATTCCTCCCACCCATCCACAAGTATTTAGAAAAATCAGTAAGCATGTCTCCTAATAGTACGAGTCATTGATGACAAGCTAGAAATACCAGTTCTGGCACATGAAAAAGATTCAGATCTGGGGATCTCCCTTCTCTTAAGCTCCTTGATAATATAACCATTCTTGAATGATAGCTTCTGCAATGTGGAAAAGCAGAAAGAGTGCATTAAAAGGAAAAAGAAGCAAATACCACACTATTTTCTGCTGCCCAAATGAAGATGAATGTTTTCCTAACCTCAAAAATCATTCGCTGCAGTCCAAAGCAAAACGTTGATCCAAATGGGTTAGTGTTGTTTGGAGAGGATGACCTTAATTAAAAGAAAAGGTCTATAAGAGATAATAACCACCAATGAGTACGTGGCAAAATATCATGCAAAATGAGTTAAAATGAGAGGGATCACATTTATTTATATTTTGCTACACTGCCTGTGGATTCCAAATGACTCACTCCCCCAAAGTTGCTCTCCGCTTAATGCAATATAGGACTCTGAGTACCTAGAGCAGCAGCAGGCAGTAAATTTTGGCTGGAGGGCCGCTGACCAAGTTTTGGCAAGCTGTGGAAAGACGCATGGGTAGCCCCGCCCCCGGTCACCATCTTGGGATGGGAAGTCACACCCCCTAACCCCTAACCTTTGCCACCAGAAGTCCCTCCCCTTGCCCCTAAAAGTACTCCTTTCAGCAAGGGGGTTTGCCATCTTGGAACCAGAAAAATACCAAATTATATCCTAAAAATCAAACATCTACCACATTAATTAAATTGATTTCAAAAACTATTTTTGTCCTGATTTACATGCGTTTGTGTGGTGTTCATAGATGTGATTGTATAATAGCTTAAAATGAAGTCTTACTCTTGTATATTATGGGGGGCATAGATTTGTGGGGGGCTGTGGGTATGTGGTAATGTGGGGTGTAGAGGGTGTGTGTGTGGGAGCATGTGGGTATGTGTTTAGATATGTGGAATGTGGGTGAGTATGCGGTTTCTGGGGGGCTGTGAGTATGTGGAGGGGAGAGTGGCTGAGAAAGGTTGCAGCGTGTGTGGAGGGGGACGTGTATGGCAGTGTGAGCGGGGGGTATAGGTACATGTGTATGGTTGGGTGTGTGGGGGATATGCCCTACAAACATGCCCATACACACACACACCCACCCCCTTCCCTCATTGCCCACAGCCCCCGCCATGGCAATTGGAGCCCTTGCCAGCACTCCTGCCAGCCTGGGCTCTGCGCTCCTGCTGCTCCTGGCCCTGGGGCACCAAGCTCCTGTTCACTGTCACTTCCCCGTTACATTTGCCATCGCTGCCCTTTTGCCACTTCCCTACCTTCCAGCCCACTGCTGCCACTTCCCCATCCCCCTCTGCCTGCCCACTGCTCTAGCACCATGCGGTTCCCAGCTGCACAGCCAAGACTGCAGCAAGCACCAGGGACGGGCCCGGCCTGACCAACACTGCGTAGAGCCAGCAGAGAATCACTGGGACCGGACTGGGTAGGGCTGGCTCCTGCCAATTCCTGTGGCCTGATGCAGCTGAGAACCACATGATGTGGGAGCAGCCAGTGGGGGGTGGGGTGGGGGAGTAGCGGCAATGGTGGGCAGGAAAGTCGGGAAGTGGTGGTAGCAGCAGCAGTGCAAGGTGTGTGGCAGCAAGCAGGTTGGCAGGCATGAATGCAGCGATGGCTGGGTAGGAGCACGGGGCCCATGCCAATGCCCCAGGGTCAGGGCTGGTGGGGGCCCAGGGCGGGGTGACAGGAGCGCTATCGAACTGGGCTAACTCTGCCTTCTCCCTGATGGTGTAGCCTGGCCCAGTTCAATACAGTCCCTGCCACGCTGGGCCCTGCACTTCTGCTGCCCCACCTCGGTCCCCACCACTCCTGGCCATGGGGCATCAGCATAAACCCCACACTCCTGCCCAACTGTCACTGCATTCATGAATGACCACCTGCTTGCTGCCATGCGTCTTCCTGCCCCCCCCACCTGCTTTCCTTTCCTCTGCCGCCACTACTTCTACCCACCCCACCCCCCAGCTGGCCACTCCCACACCACATGGTTCTCAGCTGAACTTGCAGGACCCAGCAGGAACTGGCCCAGGGGTGACTGTCCATGGTTCTCCCCATTCTTAGCTGAGTTTCCCTCTTGGGCAGAGGGAGGTGGGGAACAGCCCCAGGGTCACCAGACCAGAAGCCTCTGCTAGGCAGAGGCTTCCAGCTGGGGATGGGGAGGGTTGGGTTGGGAGGAGTGGGGCCTGGCAGGCTGCAGGTACTGAATCCTGCTGCCAACTCCCTGAGTCTTGCTGCTGCTGGTGCCTTGTCATCTTTGACAAGCAACCAGGGGCAGATGATGATAACTTTTTAAAGTTTTTTATGAGCCTTGTGGGCCGGATAGAATGGCCTGGTGGGCTGAATCTGGCCTGCAAACCATATTTTGCCTGCCTCTGCCCCAGAAGTACAATGGTACAAAAAAAAAGACACGCACACAAATAGGTAACAAAAAGAAAAGATTAAGAAAAGAAGCTTGTGGCTAGCCCCTTTTACCTTTATCGTACCCTTTCAACTTTTTTTTTTTTTTTTTAAGTGTAAATTACAGTTACACTATTTTAAAATATTCTGGGCCATGGTGAATAGACATCTAATATGTTTAATATCATGTTATTCTGATTAAGGTAACTTCCCCCTTTCGCCAAAGAGAAAAGTCACCCTTGACTTAGACATGGGGTTGATTTCTGATCACAACAATAAGGCACTACTGTATTGAACAGATGATCCTGCGTGGCACCCTGAAGGGACATAATGGCCATCTCTTAGGGTACTGCACAGGGTCATCTGCCCTGTCATGGTAGCAGAAGAGAAGCTGACCCTTTGCAGCCCAGACTCTGTGGCTCTTAAGCATTCCACGTGAGGTAATTACATTAGCTCCTGCAAGAAAAGTTCACAATAGCTAGGTGACCCAGACTCCCATAACCCTGTAGTTCCCAAAGATTTCCATGGGAATGGAAGACGGGCAAACTAGAAGGCCAGAAACTCTATAATCCTGGTGTGACACTGAGGTTTCTAGACAGCTGGCTCCACTGCAGGGATTAGGGAGCTGGGATGTCTTGGGTTTTCAGTAGAGGTGCACCGATACATTAGTCCGATATTGGATCAGTACTGATATAAAGAAAATTGGCTGTATGGAGATTGGCCTCATGGAGCCAATAATTTGGCCAATAAATGCCCATGCTGTATGCAGCTCCAACATAGCACTCAGGCAGCAGGGACAGCTGCCTCCAGCTGGTAAGTCCAGAGTGGGCAGATCAATACCCCCTCCCTCACTGCAGGGGGTGGGGGCAGAGCTATGGTTCATGGGAAGGGGCAGCCCCCACTGCTGCTTGCATCCTGGGAGGGCGTGTGCCCCCTGGATTTGTACAGGGTGGGGGAGGGGAGCAGGCTGCACATGGCTTTTCAGCACTGGGAGGATGCTGCATCCACCCCAAATTTCACTGCCACTCCACTCCCAGTGCCACCACTTCCAGTCACCCAGCTCAGCCCTGGTTCTTCCTGATGCATGGATGCAGGTGAGGCATTAAGCTAGGGCTGTGCCAGGTGGCTGGTGGTGAAATTTAGGGTGGATGCAACATCCTCCCAGCACTGCTGGCGCCCACCACTAGCCCCTACTGAGAAGAGCCCTGCACAGCTCACCCTGTCCAGATCCAGAAGGCACACACCCCACCTGTGCCCTCCCAGGGTGCAAGCAGCAGCAGCAGCAGAAGCCACCCCCCCACAAGCTGTGGCTGCAGCTACCCCCCTACCCCTGCTTGGGCAGTGCCTGCCCCTGCCTGCCCCATCCCTCACCACAGGAAGCGTTGATTTGCTCCTCCCACGCCCCTTCCCTCCCCTTCCACCACACTGGACTTACCAGCTGGAGGCAGCTGTATTGGAAAAATTGGATCGGTATCGGCCAATCCTTAAATATCAGCTATCGGTATCAGCTCCAAAAATCTGTCGGTGCACCCCTAGTTTTTAGCTCCAGTGTAGTCCACGTGGCAGTTAAAACCAGGGAGCAAGAGAGCCACAGAGCAGCCTAGCAAGGTGAACCAGCAGGAACAAAACAAAACACAAAACAAAACCCCTACTACAGCACTTATTACAGCTAAATACACAGTCAAAAAGGCCAAGTCAGTTTTCTCTAAGCTGCATAGGTTGAACCAATACCAACAGAACTGACATTCAGTTTTTAATTGGGAAAGGCAGGGGGAGGCCAGTAGGCTAGGGGTGCTAGAGCATGTCTCCCAGCCTGCTGGCCATTACCAGCCCAGCCAAGCATCTCCAACTGGCTCTCTAGGACATCCCCCCACAGGGGGTTAAGGAGCCCCCTGTCCAGGTGCTGGCCCACCTTGGGGGAATTCCCTCCTCCCCCTTCCCAGTGGCTGTCTGCTTCAGCCACTGCCACAGGAGAGAGAGAGAAGTTCTCTCAGCCACGTGTCTGCCCATCTAGCCCAGCATGGGGGCATCAGGAAGCCCCTGCCTTTGGGGGACTTCCCCCCCACCCCAGCCTGGGGCAGTGCCAGGGAGCCGAGCGGAATTTTTGCCTTAGCTGCTGTGGGTCTTAAGCCGCCTCAGGGAGCAGAGGGAAATTCTTCCACTGCCTGCAACTAGTTTTGCCTCAGACTCACAGCTGCTGATGTAAAACTGGCTGTGGAGGAGCAGAATTTCCATTTGCTCCCTGAGGTGGCCTGGGACTCACAAGGGATAAGGCAAGCAGCTCTGGGGTTTGGGAGAGGAAGAATTCCCCTAAGTTCCCTAGGGTTGCCCCCACAAGGCAAGGACTTCCCCATGCCCCCATGATTTGCTGCACAGGCAGGCACCCAGCTGGGAGGACTCTTCTCTCCTTCCTGTGGCAGTGGCTGAAGCAGTTAGCAACTTGGAGGGGGGAGGGGAGAGTGCTGTCAAAGGTTGAAGCGCCTCCACCACAGTGGCTTTCCTCCGCTCCATGTGCTGTGTAGACCCTGACGAGAGTGGTCTGGGGGCCTGTTCCACCTCAACCCCATGGACTGATGCATCCAGGCAGAAAGCAGGCTGTGAGGTGAGCAGAGGGGTGAGGCAGTCCTTGATCCACTGGAGCAGACAACATAGCCCAGGGCTGCAAAGCATCCTGGGATGCTGGGGGACTACAAGTTAACTTGAACCAGGAAGGGATCTGGGACAGAAGCTCCATAAACTGGTTTGACCTAAATCAGTTCAGTCTGATCCTACATCCAACCAGGTTTATCTTACATTAGTTTTGGCCATTTTGAAAGCAGTTTATGTGCACTGAACTTCTGTTCTGTTACAGGTTTAAGCCAGTTTCTGGACACTTAAACCAGTTTATGTATAATTTCTGTACCTAGCCAATGGGAACAGGCCGGAGTCCTTTGAAGTCACAATCAAGACTCATAGATTGCAACAGATTTTAGATAAGACAAACAATGGAAAAAGTAAATCATATGGCTTCATGCTGTAGTTCCAGCATATTTAAGACTGATTTCTGGCCACAGCTTCTTCCAGATGTACCTTCTTATTACATTTTAGCTTTGTCTGTAACTGGCAAATTTCTTTAGCTGCACGTACGAGTGTAGAAGTGTTTTGTGAAGCAAACTGGGGTTGCACTCTGCTTAGCAACCCAAATTGAAAAGAAAAAGTTTGATTTAGTAATGCTTCACCCCAAATGTATGCTGCTACAGTTCTGGTGATTTCTCTAAACTAAAACCAGAGCAAAATAATGGAAACTTGGACCACAGTAGTTTAAAATCCAATGCTTAACAGTAATAGCGTAAGCTTGGTAAAGACAGGGTCATGGTTAAGTATTTCTGAAATCTCTAAAAGAGTTCCCCCTCTCTCCCTCCCCCATCTACCAGGTTGATAGCAACCTTTGCTTAAGTATTAGTCTGCAAACAAATGCAGTATCACAGCCCTGTGTAGAGGAGACTCCTGTTTTAACCACAGAAATGGCCTAACATGAAAAAGAATATATAAAACACACTGCTGGACCTCTGTTTTTCAAGCTATTATAGAGGAGCTACCTCTTCTGGCAAGGAAAAGAGGTTTGGTTTCATGCCCATTCAAACCTTTGGGAAAGAGGGCTAATCAGGGCACCAATTATATATTTGTGTTGGCGACACTTGTTCACTAGGACCTGGACTCTGACTAAATGGGGAATCAACTACAATCCAACGGTAATGCCATTCATATTAGATTTGAGCCGGTGGACAATGGACATGAAAAGTTAGTAGGCCATTATTAATTCCCTATGTCTATCGCTCATTTTATACCAGAGAAACAGGACTGAAGTTTAACTAAACTAATTGTAAACAGGGGAAGTGACTAAAGTTAATACCTGTCCTAGTTTAAACAGAACCTTCCTAAATCTTACAGTAAATGCGTATTATAAACCTGAAATCTAAGTTATTTTGTCTTGTCATTGGAACATTAATTACAGTATATTGGCTCCATTAAAAACATCATTAGCTGACTATTTCCAGGTGCTTTCAGAATCAGAATATGTAAAAACGAACATATTTCAGAACCTGATAGGAATGGGCTTATGAGATCTTTCAGGCTCTTTACCACCTTCGTGGATGCTTACACAGAGATTCATACAAGAGGGTGTTGATTTTAATCATGGCCTTCAGATACAACTAGAATCTAAGTAATCTCAGATACTATGCAAACCACAGCCGTATATTGTATCAATTATATTTTCATAGCTCTCCCCACTGCAGAGATCAGGATTTTGCAGAATTTCAACAATTTCTAGATAGAGACAGCAGAACTGAAACTTCAACAGCAAAAGGTATGGACACACAACACTGATTGGTATTAAGCATTTGATAAATTGTAGTGAGTTGTTTATGTAGTAAACTGACTTTGCTACATAATAAAAGTGAAGTGGACCCAGTGCACTGCCCCATTACATAGTGAGTCACACAAACGCAGGTCGAGCTACCCCTTGGCAAAGTTTACTACATAGGAAAAATACTGCAAGGAATGTATTTTACACACAGTTTCCTTATAAATTTCATCACAGGGTAGCTGCTTGCTTAAAGCAAACCAGCTCCCTACCACCTAGTGGCCAGGAGCTGTAACAGCACCTATTACAGTTGGCAAGCTTGGGAAAGCTGGTTTTTGTCACTCCTTACTGGTAGAGCTTTTACTATGGAATAAAATCCAAGATAAATTATTCCAGAGCCATTGTGTTTTGTACCCATGCATTGAGATGGTAAAATCCCCACTCCCTCTGGGTAACTGCTACTATATTGCTAGTATTCTATTTGTAGCAAAAGTGTCCCCAGCTTGTGTCTTGACAAATGTACAGAGCATCAAAAAAAAGAAATGTATTACCTGTGAAGCACCACTGGCTTCTCCACCGGGTGCCCAAGAAGGTCCTGAATACTGTCCCACTGCAATATTTAAAAGCTGTTAGAATAAAACTAGTCACACAAGTGAAAGCTCCAGCTGAGACTTTCTGTACCTTCCTATGGGTTAAATTCTACTTCCTGTCCCAAACAGAACATCGTTTGAAGAGAGAACAACAACATTAAACTCTGCAAACTTTAAATTCTGCAAGCATTATTTCAGAGATAGAGGTATCTGAAGTTTCCCATAGGGGAGTCACTCTCTTACAAAGCTTTTCCTTTCTCACTCTCAAAAACTTTTGGTTGTTTCTAAATGCAAGTGTTGGACATTAGCAAAACAGATGGATGGTTAGTCTATTTGGGAATTTCCAGTACCATTCATTTGGTGTGGTCACTTAAAAAAAAAAAAAAAGGGAAAAGGTCTAACAATGCAGTGAAGCATTAAGCCCCAAAGGTGATGGTCTGCTGTTCTCCTAAAGACAACAGTGCAAAGTGTCCCACTAAAACAAATCCTTTTCCAGAATGAGGATGATCTAAAACATCTATGAAACCACAGCCTGAGGACTCTCTTGAGTTCTGTAAATATTTTTACTGTTGTATGGGACTTTCAGTCACTACAATCACTGAGTTCCCCTCACAGGCCTGAACTGATTCTTCAAGTGGATAGGAAATAAAAATGTTATAAGTGTTAGTGCACTGTTCAGCCTCCAACAGCTAAGTGAGTGCCACTGATTTTGCCTGGACATGGGCTGGTAAAGACTGTGGAACCAAACCACTGAAGATTTTTCCACTTAATGTTGTTCATCTTGCTATGAAAAGCAAATATAGTGTTCATCCAAAAAGGTACTGAGCAGTCTCCCCTGGCTAGCCAAAGTAGTCTTGCCTTTATTTGAACTTTCAGAAAACTAATGAACCCTTTTCAGACAATAGAAATGATCATAAAAGTTTCAAAACCAAGTGTAAGTCACCCCCAGATCACAGCAAATTCCTTTAAAAACAAAGGATAGACATATCTGAGAAAAAAATATCTAGTTAAATGAAATTCCTAACAATGCAGGATCATCTTACTGTGACTAATGTTTTTCTGTAATAATTAGAACCATCCAAAATTATTTCAAGCCAAACTATTGCTTTTTTTCATTAATATTATACTCCAAAAATATCTTGAACTGTTCTAACTCATAACTCAGGGCCTTGTTACATGGTAATTTTGAGTGGCTCCTGGAACTCTTAACACCTGGACTGCCCACATGTTAACACATATGAGGCTCAAAATTATACCACTCAAGGGCAGGATTCTCTCTGATCTATACTAGGCAGCTCCTGTTATAGGAAGGTATAGCCACTCTAGGTGATACCTTAGTGTAAACATCCCACCAGCCCTGCTCTCCCGTTGGTCCAGATTGGGCCCGCTGCCCCCAGCCCTCCCCAGAACCCCAGATCCCTTCTTACTGCCCCCTTTCCTTGTTTGTGGCTGCCCATACTGTCCCAGGGAAGAGTTAACCTGCCTACCTGGCTGCCCCTGCTGCAGCTTTCTGGGCAGGCTCAGCCCTAAGAAGAGCAGCAGCCTGGCAGAAGGACCCAGGCAGGCAGGTTAACCCTTCCTTGTCTGCTTCCCTGGGACAGATAGCCTGACAGCTACAAGTAGGTGGGGGTGCAGTGGGGAACCCCAAAAGGTAGGGGAGGGACTTGGAATGGGAAGGGGGGGTGGGATTCTTACCTTTCAGTCCTTCATGCTCACCTGAAGTGACTGCTCCAAAACTCAAAGCAAGCACTAACATCAACCAACATTTGTGCAGCTTACAGTGTAAGGTTTAATAGGGCCCTCACTTTAATAAATTGTGAAACAAAATACCAGGTACACCCATTGATTTGATGCACTATTATTTCTGGGTTGTTTTTTTTTTAAACACAAGTAAAAAGTTTAAAATTAAAAAAAAACTAACAAAAAATGTATAATTCATGTAAAATTTAGTATGATGCCAGGGGAAGATGGCATTTTAAATTGCCTTCTTTTAAAAGTAGTGTTTGTATACGACTATTATACTACTGCAGCATGCATCATCTAGGCGGTTTATATCCAGAATTGTTGTGTTTGGTTTTGTGAAGACTCACCTTGCTGTATGTTGTGCATGTTTCAGTCTGAGAGTCAGCATTATCTGTGGAAGATACATAAAGAAGACTCTGCTGTGAATTCCAAAACTATTTCAGATAGGGAGTATGCAGATGTCAAACTGACAGTTTATACCACAGATTTTTTCTTCCCCACTTATGTCTATTAAAAAAAAGAAGCAAGCAAGCTGCAAACTGAGATATAAAGATTTAAGAGAAGAGAATACTTCCTTTTCAATGTACAGAACAGATGCATCAAGACTATACATAGTACCAGATAAGAGGCCTAGCAGCAGGAATAAACTGACCCTCATAACAAGCTCTCTTGCAGACTGAGCAGTGTACTGAAAATGAAAGCTCTCATATCTGGCTCAATCTCTCCAAAAATAGTAGATTCTATTTTACCAGTCTCCCTTGTGAAAGGGGAAGGGGAACAAACCTCACCTGGCCCCCAGAATGGATGAACACAGATGCCAATAGTTGTTTTCTAGGTTGACTTCGCATGCCAGGTGATCAGGGAAAATATGGAAACTGATATGGATACTATTCTCTAAAGGGCAGAGAAAGCAAAAACCCTGAGAACGTCAATCCTTTTTTCCTCCCAAAAAATAAATCATCAGGGAGCATGGAAGGATACTACCCACATGTGGGATTACAGTCGGAGAAAATCTGGGTCTCTGAATTGTCTGCTAGAAATTTCCCCAGGCTCTGCGTACATTTATCTCTCTCAGGGCAACTGTGAAAATGAAAAATATCTTCTCCAGAGCAATGGGGAGGAAGTGAAGCTAAAGGGATGCCAAAAACTGCAAGCGTTCTTTAAATTTAATGGAAAGCTCATTTGCCACTCATTAAAAAAAACAAAAACAAAAAAACAGGAAGTTCTCTCTCATGTGGGTGGGTCTACTGTTTAAGCAACATGCCTACCAGGCACCAAGGAGTTGTCTCATTGGGACCGCTGAGTGTAAATGGGAGAATTCCAAGGCACACTGTGGCCAGATGGAAAAGATACAGACTTTTCAATTGGTTTCATACTATCAGTGCTTGCTTTCAAACTTCAGTGTGGTAGGCAGGAATTGGGGAGATCCAAGGAATTATAAATTCAATATCAGTTAATGGAACTACTTGGACTGAATTAAACATATCACTAGAAATGGGAGTATTCAAAATATTGCATAAAAGCCTTAGGGAAATTTTTGAAACAGAAAGTAAAGGGTTTTACTGCCTGCTCTCTCTTGGCCAGACTCAAAAATCTAATGTTTACTTATAATAAATATGCATATATATGCAGACAAACTTTATTTCTTTTTCCTGACTCATTCCTTCTTCTCACTATGTCTTCAGCAGGGATTCTGGTTTTGATAAAAAAAATACCCAATTTTTGGATTTAAAAAAGTAACCCAAAATCCAATTTTTCCATGATTAAAATGAAACACCAATAATACAAACATACATACATACAATGGTGTTTCATTTTGATCATGGAAAAATGTGGATTTGGGGTTACTTTTTTTAGTCTAAAAATAGGGAACTTTTTTTATCAGAGAAAACCAGGATCCCTTATAATCCGTTAGGAAAAAAAATGATGAGCACACAACAACAAC